CATCCTCAGCAACCCGGCAGCTGGACAGGGCTTTCCTATGTCCTGTTTTCCTATTGGCTTCCTGCAGCCCCAGACTCAGGGTAGCAAGTCACAAGTGCACATGCCCAGTTTGGGTGTCCCAGCTGGCACCCCCCCCCCATCCCCTGCTTCTCTTAAATGCTCTTGGAAGCCCCCTGGCCTCTTACCAGTCTCTCTCAGCTGAAGGCATATTCAACAAACTGGTCCTATCACCAGGCACCTTCCCTTCCTTCTCCAGGTCCCCCTCTGCCTGAGAAAGTCTCTCGGGACACCTGAGACATGGGGGTGCTTCAGCTGTCGGGACTCCCACCTCCACGGTTGCCACATCTCCACATCCTCCCTCACCCCTCCCCGCACTCACACATACACACCCCCTCTGGAAGCCTTAGATGGCAGAGCAGCAGCGTAGGGAACCTGGGGGGAGGGGGAAGTGGAGGAGAAACTGTTGATTCATGGTGCTGGAAGGAGCCTTAGAGAACATCCAGTCCAATGGTCTCATTGCACAGATGAAGAAAATGAGTCATGGGAGCCGGCCGCTGGCTAAGGTCCCAGAGCAGGTCCCCAGACTCCCAAGCTACACAGATTATTTTTGCTGGACAGCAGGGCAGTTGGGGCCAGAGGATGGGTCCCCTTCCACCTGGCCCCTCTGCCACCCCTTCAGTGGTGATGGGGGTGATGTGATCCCAAGGTCAGCCAGAAGCCGAGGCCTAGTGGGTGGGCAGGCCGGAGGGTCAGTGTCTAGACACCTCCGGAAAGACCTGGTGCTCCCCCAACCCCCATGAGCTCTAATTACTGCTGCTCACATTTTCAATTCCCAGCAGGCTCAGCAACAAGCGAAATCTGTCAGCTGTCGGGCCTCTCCAGGGAGCTCTCGCAGCTGCCTGAAGACTCTCGAACTTTCTCTGAGGTTGTGTCAGGGAAAGAGGAGCTGGCTCAGCCACAGTTGGCAAATACCAGCCAAGGGTGTGGCTATTGTGCCTACGGCCTCAGGCACAGTGCCAGGATGGGAGGCAGAATATCCCAGACTCTGGGGCCACAGATGAGAGGAGGGCCCCCTCCAATTAAGTAACCCCAGACCCTATCGCGCCCATCTTCCTTCACTTCCCCCTCCCAATGGCTTCTGGGAAATCCCTAGGGGATGGACTTAATTGTCCTGTTAATCCCAGAAGAACTACCCCTGGCAGCTCAGTGACTGGAATGCTAGAGCAGATGATTATCAAAGACCATTTGGGCAGGTGGGCAAGTGGAAGCTGACATTCAGCCCTTGTTCCTCTTGCCAAGTCCTGTGGCTGGGTTTAGGGTGCAGCCTTTTGGAGGAAGAGCATCTTGGTCAGGGATGGAGGCACCCCAGAGAGTCTGGCCCAACCCTCCCTGCCCTGATAGGGAGGGTGCTGAAAACAGCACCCTGTTCCCAGAAGCCCACCGCACTCCCTGGCCTGCCTGGCAGTCGCTCCCCTGCAGGACAGAGGATCAGGAGGGCTGAGTTCCAATCTCTCAGACCCCCTTCCAGCTTTGTGACCTTGGGCAGTTCTGACCCTCAGTTTCCTCATCTCAGTAATGAGACTCTGATAAGATACTTGGACATGCTCTAATGCTCATGCAACTGGGGAATTCTCATTAGTCTAAGTCTCAATATCCAAAATTAAAGGCCCTCTTTCCTTAAGGATTCACACGGTGAGCACCAGGCATTTCACACACATTCTTGCATCTGAGATTCACCACAGTCCTGTCAGGTGGGTGGATTGCTAGCCACATTTTGCAGATGGGGACATGCGGGCTCAGAGAGGTCACCAGGCCAGTGAACAGCAGCACCCAGATTCAAGCCCAGCCTTGTTTGACCCCAAAACCCAGTTTTCCCCACACCCCACACCCTCTTACCATGACCCAGAGCTACCCATGTCCCCTCCCTTGTGACTGGCAGGGTGACCCAAGTCCCTCAAGAACTGGCTCATTGCAGATGAATGTTGAGTTCTCCGTTCTGCCGCCCACCGGCCGTGGGCAGAGCGCTTGTGTTGTTGCGCTTCAGGTTGTACAGCTTCCCCTAGCTGGGGCAGCAGGACGGATCCTCCCTGCCTGGTTTCAGACAAGATGAAGGGAGCTATGAAGGGAGCTTGTGTCTACAAAGTGCCCCCACCCAGAGCGTGGCTGGGCCTGGCAGGACCACACTTGAAAGCACCCATGACTACACCTGACAGCTCCCTCAAGGGTGGGGCACCTGGGCTCCAGTCTGGGCCAGGTGGGCAGGCAGGGGCAGATGAGGGCCCTCCCTGGCTCCTGACCTCATCCTGACTTTATGGGGCTGGGAGTGCCAAGAAGTGAAAGCCGGGGCTTCTTGAAGCTGAGACCCTTGGGGGGTGCAGCCAGTAGTTCCCAACTGAGATTCACTGGGCTCATGACAGGATCCAGCAAGGGAGATGGGGCAGAGGGCAGGGGTACTGTCTGCCTCCCACCCTTGGCTCAATAGAACCCCAGGGGCTCAGAGGTCTTTCCGGAGGTGACCTCAGGTTTGTGTGGCCCAGTCCCAGCTCTTTCCTGATGGAGAGCAGAGGGGTAAGAAGGAAAGGCATCCAGGAGCTCTCTCTCTTGAAGAGGAAACTGAGGCTTAGAGGGGGCATGAGACTTGTTACTCCTTGTTCATCAAGGTACGTGGCCTGGAGTCTGGCTTCCAGCCCCTCAGTGTCCTGGGCAGAACAGGCCTCCTATGGAACTTGTTAGCAGGGAGGGTCTCAGAAAGAGAGGAGGTAGGAAACTCCAAGGTAAGAGCCCTTGAGGGTAAGAGCCCTGAGCAGCAGAGGCAAGAGGCTTACTCTGCTAATTGTCCTACAGGAGACAGTGGGACAGTCACTCTCAACCTCAGTCTCCTCATCTAAGAAGATAATAGGACAGAGTCTCGAGAAGGAAGGCTGGACAAGAAAACGCCTCTGAAGGCAGGAAAGAGGGAATGTTAGGATTACGGCAGGAGCGTAGGGGCACCACTCTCTCCCAGAGGAGAGATATTGGGGACTGGATCCCATAGGTGGTCAGGTAGGAGGTGGGGTTAAGGTACAGTCCTCAGCCCTAACCGGTTTGGCTCAGTGGATAGAGTGTCAGCCTGTGGACTCAAGGGTCCCAGGTTCGGTTCCGGTCAAGGGCATGTACCTTGGTTGTGGGCACATCCCCAGTAGGGAGTGTGCAGGAGGCAGCTGATCGATGTTTCTCTCTCATTGATGTTTCTAACTCTCTATCCCTCTCCCTTCCTCTCTGTAAAAATTCAATAAAATGTATTTTTAAAAAAAAAGGTACAGTCCTCAGGTTATGAGCAAGATTGAGCAAACTGTACCATCTGGAGTCCCCTCCCCTTTATACTGTGGGAATCAAAAACAAAAGGGGCTTTGTGATTATAATTTGCAAAATGGGAAACTGAGGCCTAGAGAAAGAAGGGCCTTCTCTAAAATCACACAGTAAGCCAATGGCAAAGCCCAGACTAGACTCAAGGTTGCTGCATTTCAGGTTCCCTGTCCTCAAGGAAATATAGATTTTACAAAGCAAGAGCAGAGTGGAATTTCTGGGCGCCTTTGACAATCCAATATAGAGTCACTGTCAGGTAAGACTGAGGTATGTCAAGACTGAGGTAATGGGGTGTAATGGGAACGCCCTTAGGAGGGGCCCAGAAGGCCCAAAATCACAAGTCTGGACACAGAAAAGAATTCCATTTGGACACCGCTATGAGTGAGACCTCCAACCCTGGTGACCGTAAGAATTCAGAGCTCCTACTACCTCAAGCTTGGCTATACCACGGGCCATGCTTGGATCCCTGCCAGACTTCTACTCCACCAGATGCCTGCCACCACCGTAGCCACCTGGCTAGAGACTGAGGCCTGCCTCTCCACCTGCAGACTCCCCCAGTGACGGAAACTTTGCTCATGTAACCTCCCCCTCTCTTTGTATAGCCTGCGTGGGAGTCTATTGGCTTATCGGGGAGGTCTCCCCTAATGAACTTGGCATTGTGGAAAGAACCTGGCATTGTGTGTGTAACTCCTTTCAGGGTTGCTCACAGCATAGATATAATGTGGAGATTGACAATAACCTTCCTCCTGACCCCCCACCCTCAGCACTGGACCTGGGGTTTCTCATCTGGGCCAGCCCCACTGCTGGGGGCAGGGGGAAGTGGTCAGACCCATACATGCCACTGCCTCTGCAACAGGGAGAGGTTACCTACACACTCTCCTCCCTCCTCCCTCTCTTCAATTCCAGGTAGACAATAACAGTAATTAACAGTTCTCATGTACCAGGCCCTGGGCGAAAAGTCTTGCTTGCGTGAAGTCATTGAATCCTCACATCAATCCAATGATGTGAGCATCATCATCCTCATCCTCATCTCCATTTTCCAGATGGGGAAACTGAGGCCCAAGGAGTCTAACTTGCACAAGTTCTTCCGTTAATGGCAAAGCCAGGATTTGAACGCAGGCAGTCTGGTTCCATAGCCCACACTCCTAAAAACCACACCAGACTGCTTCTGAAAGCATTCTATCACAGATAACTGTGGTTCAGATATTGGCTCCTCCACTTCCTAGTTGTGCGGCCTGGGACGAGTAGCTCAACTACTCTCATCTTTGTCCACCTGGACAAAAGGATGGGACTGTCCACAGGCAGTGGCCCAGGGCGTTAGCGCCCAGGCCTGCGAGTGTCCGGCAGTGGGCACTGCATCAGCATCAGCATCAGCACTCCCGTCATTTGTTTTTTTGAACCAGAGAAGGTTCCAGATGTGGGCAGAACCTTCCTCGCCCCGCCCCTGCCCCGGTATGCAGCGGGAGGGGCTGCCCCTAACTAGTCATTGCCATTAATAGAGACCTGAAGCACCTCCTGCTAAAAATACCCGGCTGAAGCCCTTTAAAAGCGCCGCTGGCTCCAGCGCCGGGCAGTTCTCCGAGCCTCAGCGAGACGCGCAGAACCCAGAACCGAGCCAGCATACCCAGAACCGAGCCAGCATGACCGAGCGCCGCGTGCCCTTCTCGCTCCTGCGGAGCCCTAGCTGGGACCCTTTCCGCGACTGGTACCCGGTGCACCACCGCCTCTTCGAGCAGGCCTTCGGCATGCCGCGGCTGCCCGAGGAGTGGTCGCAGTGCTTCAGCCA